AGAGACAGAAAGCGAGAAATCACCCTCCAGGGGAGATGGCTACGCCGAAACCCCTTCTCCTCCATTCTCCTCTTGGGATCTTGGGCATGCACACACACACACACCCGGGGTGAGTTGAAGACACCAGGTCCGGGACTCAAACTGCGGTCGACTACATGGGAGTCCAGCGACATAGCCATTACGCTAACTGCTGGTCCCGGGGGGTCTACACTTTTAAAAAACCATTCTAGGCTCCAGATAAGTGTGATCAGGAAAGTTTGAATTTAACTTTTGTTAAACTTTGGGCATCATGAACCTATGCATCACATGATTTTCAAGCCACCCGGTCTGGGACTGGAACAATGGTCAGTCGTGTGGAAATCCAGCACCTTAACCACCACATCATCTACTGGCCCTGAATTTAACTTTTATTTTTTAAAGAATTATTTTATTTAACTTTATTTATTCACTCACTTATTTTAATTTGACTAAAGAAGAACAGAGAGAGAGAGAGAGAAAACTGCCAGGTCTGGGACTCGAACCATGGTCGGCCATGTGAGTCCAGTGCCCTTAACCACCACATCGCCTGCCAGTCCCAAGCCCCTGAATTCAACTTTCAAAGGAATACATAATGAGAGAAAAAGGAATACATAATATAGTACTCCTATGTCCAATTTTTTTTTTTTTTAGAGAAAGTTTTGCTATAGGGCTTGTAGGTTTGCCAGAGACAGAAAGCAAGAAATCACCCTCAGGGTGGATGACCACCCCATAATCCCTTCTCCTCCAATCTCCTCTATGGAGTTTGGGTTTACACACACGGTGTGAGTTTTAAATCACCAGGTCCGGGACTTGAACTGCAGTAGTCTATATGGGAGTCCAGTGACGTAACCATTACACCATCTGCTGGTCCCCCTCTGGTTTCTAATTTTTAATTCTACATCTGAGACTATTCCACTTGGGCAAATTATTCCACCTTTCTGGACCTATTCGCATCTGTATACTTGCCCCATCTAACTGACAGATCTATGGGGAACCTAAGACAAATTGTATTTGGGATGAAGGGTTTTTTCCCAATGTAGTTGTAATATGGATTCCATAGACATAAAAAGAAGCAAAACTGACACTGGAGAAGTTAGCAGGTCATCATTTTGGCTGAGGCCATGAGGAACAAAATGGAAATGCTTTGTGATAACATTAGCTGAATACTAACTATGATATCCTGGTATTCTGAGCAATTGCTTCCACTTCCCCCGGGAGGATAGCATAACCTGGGGTGAGTAGCCTCAATCACTCCAATCACACAGTCTGAGATCTGTGAAAATGCCTAGGAAAGTTAAAAACGTGAGTATTCAGAAATACTGGAGTTTGAAGGCCCTAAATTCTACGTTCCCAAGATCCCAAGAGGAGAATGGAAGAGAAGGGGCTGCGGCATGGCCATCCCCCCTGGGGAGTGATTTCTCGTTTTCTGTCTCTTTGTCTCTCTCTGGCGCGTGC